GCGAGGTGCGGGAGCAACACCAAGGGTTGCGATCCCGTTGCCGGTCCCGGTCCGGTACGGGCGTGACACTGAGGGTTGCGATCTGTTGCCGGACACGAAAAAAGACAAAAAGGGGAAAAAAAAAAAAAAACACAGCAGATATTCAGTCGATAATTTGTGTGGGGGGCTTTATCTGAATCCAGATTTAAAATATCCATTTTGGTGCTGTCTGTGATGATTTCTATCTCCGCAGCCATCCTGGTAGTTTTCTCAACTTTTATGTCACTTAGATGACCTCCATTTTAAGGACCACATCTTTTTGAATTATAAAAAGCACATTTAATACTCAATTTTTCTGTTACTGCCCCATGAATTGCTATTATTATTTAATGATATGTTATTGTCTCCACTTTGTTGAGAGTATTGTGCAGAATGTATAGCATGCAGGGTCTCTGTTCTATGAAGCTACAGTCAATGACAGAGCTTCTAACTCTAATACCTCAAACAGCAAGCATTCATCAAAGTTGCCCTATCAGAATTTCTATGACCAAAGCTTTAAGCCCTCCATTATCTTCGATGGTTTGGTAAATATTGAAACCATTTTTTTTCCTCCAAGATCATCTTTGTGTATCATTTATATCCATGGTACATGTGAGATGCTTGCCCTTATTTTTTGAGTTACTGTGATATTGCTCTTCAGAATCTAAAAATGAATAAAAATTGATGAGAATCAGGTGGGGGATACTCTAATATATTAACTTTGTTTTGTCCAAATTCTGTTAAATAAAAGCCATCTACAGATACTGGGCTAGTATCTGCCTAAATATCAAGACAAAGAGAAACATGCTTTTTATATTTTTCTTAAGTGTTATGTCTGTTTAACTTTATGGGCATAAATAGGAAGAAAAACCTATAGGAAGTTGTATTTATAGTTATTTATAAATACAGGTAATCATAAATACAGGTTATTTATAAATACAGGTAGTACGGGGGCTTTAAAAATGCATGGAAATATCTCTGTGCATTAGAGGCAAAGTACTGATTCTTACGATTAAGTTGATCAAACTATATTAAACAATTTGTAAAACAATAGAGGGGCTCAATTTCTCTCAAATGTCCTATAAAGCAAAATAAAACCAACTGCCAACGTTTTAATGATAGCTCCTTCTCATTTTGTGCTCACTAGATACCAGGCACTAGATACTGAGCTCATTGCATGGATTACGTTGTTGAATCCCCCTTTACCTTGTTAGGTGGCTGCTATTCTTTCCCCCATTTTATGGGTGGGGAAGTTGATGTGGGGAGTTTCAGAAGTGCACTCAGGGTCACAGAGCTGATGAGTGGTGCAGCAGGGATTCTCAATTCTCGTGCTGGCCTGTCAGACTTTAGGGTTTGGGCTCTTAGTCCCTGCACGATGCCACTTCTCTCGTGTTTACTTCACCCGGTATCCTATTTCTTTTCATTACTATTGTAGGAAGTGAGAATGAATTACATGTGCAGGGCAGGCAAGCTATTCACTTTATTTTCTCTTAATTTATCAGTTCATTAATAATTAAATTTATTTCCTCCAATAGAATGTGACTTTTTCTTTGTATTTACATATTTTGTTTTATTTCACTACTTAAATTTAACAGTCTTTTTTTTTTTTTTTCTTTTCCTGGTGAAGTCAAGAATTTTGCGGGGGGGGGCGGATTTAATGTGTTCTCATGTTAGGTTAAGACTGAATTTGTAAAGTGAGCAGAGAGTATTTTTTAAAAAATATTAACTTTTAGTTAATAATTTATATTTTTCTTTAGTGATTTGATTTCTATATTTAATGATTTGAGAAAAATCCTACTAAATCCTTTTATTGACCTATCTATCATCATCATCATTTCATTGCTAAAGAGATTGGACAAGATATAGTCTCTCAGTTTCATCTCCAAACTGTTATGCTGAAAGTGGCACCATTCTATATTTAATGATTTGAGAAAAATCCTACTAAATCCTTTTATTGACCTATCTATCATCACCATCATTTCATTGCTAAAGAGATTGGACAAGATATAGTCTCTCAGTTTCATCTCCAAACTGTTATGCTGAAAGTGGCACCGCTATGAAAAAACCACATTCTTCTTTATTGTCTGTAAGTCATTGTAAGGAGTGGAAGTCATATAAGGTGAATAAGAATGTGTTACACAGTGTGGATTCCTTACTGGCAGTGGACTTCCCTCCTCCTCTCTAGGCAAAGTGGATCAGGAATCTGGAAACCTAGGCAGCTGCATGTATAGTGGTTAAGTGTGCAGTCAGATTGTCTGGGTTTAATCCCAGTTTTGTCACTAATGGCTGTGCAACTTTGGGTAAGTTACTTAATCTCTGTGTGCCTTAGTTTTCTCATCTGTAAAATGGGACTGTAATAGTACATTCCTTTTAGGATTATTGTGAGTGTTAAATGATGTAATATATGAATAGTATTTAGCATGATACCTAATATATAGTTAAGTGCACAATAAGTGAGGGCTGTTATTATTTATTGTGCTGTTTTTCAAGAGTTAATACTGCTTCCCTAGGAGGCAATGAGAAGATTGCACAAGTCTGTGGCTCAAGAGATGACATGTTCAGGCTCAGGCCACTTGGCCATGGGAGACCTGCGGATTGGCACACATATGAGGGTCTTGTGATTCTACCAGTAGCACTGTGGACCCTGGAACTCGCCCCACCTTCTTCATGTGGGCAATCTTGATAACAGGAGATGTGCCTGGTCTCGTCATATTATTGTACGTTCTTTATCAAATGTCCCCTTGGATTGTCTGACTCTGTACAGCAACTGGTCCTCTGTGTTTAGAAGGCCAGAAATCTTTTCTTGAGTTGTCAATCCAGGGTTGAACTCTTGCTGGAATAATGTGCATTTTAGAGGCAAAAAAAAAAAAAAAAAGGAGCTAAAGATATAGGTTGTTTCTATAAGGACTTGCTGTGTAGGCAAGGTGAATGCACAGGAATGAATGTACATAGGAATGAAGGAATGCACAGGAAACAAGAGGACTAGTTTATCCATGAGGTCCCTGGAGAGGCAGCATGGGGTAATAGAAAGTAGGTGGACTTTGCAGTCGGGCAGAGTTTCAAATTCTGGCTTTACCAGCCTGTTCCTCATGTGTAACATGGGGATACAATTGTTTGCTACACAGGTTGTGTGAGGATTAAGTGAGATCACATATGTGAAAGCCCCTAACAGCACTTGGCACATGTAGAAAGCATGCAGTACATCTTGGCTTCCTTTCCCTCTAGGGCTTCAGCTGGTGCAAATCCTTTCTGGAAGCACCTGGAGTATAAGTTACATAAATGAAAATGAAATAGTAGAGGCTGGAGAGAGAAATCACTTTGGGGTTACTTGGAGGAGTTAGAGTGAGGCCAGGCTTTAAGAGATGGAAAAGATTTGGATGGGAAGGAAGAAAGGGCAGGGGTTCCCTGGGGGAGAGTAGAGCACAGAGAGGGGTCATGCTCAGAGGGACTGCAGGTGAGTCGATGGGGTCAGCTGGAGACACTATAACTCAATCAGATCCAGGTCCTATCCCTGTTGGGCCATTTATAAGCCATATGACCTTGGGAGAGTTGCTTTATGTCTCTCTAAGCTTCAGGTTTTTTAAGAAAAATAATTGTATTTTTAAAATCATCATACAGTAAAACTGACTTTTTTGCTGTACATTTCTGTGAATTTTAACACATGTATAGATTTGTGAAACTACTATCATGATCAGGATTCAAAACAGTTCCTTCACCCCAAGAATCTTCCTCAGGTGACCCCTAACCACTAGTCTGTTCTCCATTACATAGTTTTGTCTTCTTCAGAATGTCACGTAAATTAAATCATACAGAATGTAGCCTTTTCAAACTTGCTTCTCTCTTTAGAATAATGCCTTTGAGGTTCATCCATGTAGTTCTGTGTGTGTCAGTAGTTTGTTCTTTGTTATTATTGAGTAGATTCTACTATATAGGTACACCATAGTTTATCTGTTCACCCATGAAGAACATTTGGATTGTTTCCAGTTTTCTCCATTTCTCAGTTTTATCACCTGTTATGATGATAACAATTGTACTTACCTCATAGGATTATAAAAATTAAATAGGATAAGGTATACATAAATATATATAAATAACACGGTATTTTAGATGGTATGGTACTGAGTAAAAATAGAAATATGAATGTTCTCACCACAAAAAAATAATGAATAACTGAGGTGATGGATATGCCAGTTACCCTGATTTGACAATTATGCATTGTGTTCATGTATTGAAACAGCACACTGTACCCCATAAACATGTACAATTATTATGTGTCAATTAAAGATATTTAAAAGTAGCCATTAATGAATGCAAGTGAAGAGTTTAGAAATAGCTCTAATGAACATAAATATTTAGTATAAGATATAAAGCAAGACTTTCAAAGCAGGTAGATAGGGAAGGAGAACCTGTATCTGTCCCTTCCCCTAGGTAATCTTATTCAATTCCATGGTCCAGTGTTTCAAATAGAGTAGCTGATAGCGAGGACACTGGAGCCAAACTGCCTGGGTTCAGTTACCAGCTCTACCATTATGCGATGGACAAATTACTTAAACTGTGCTTAAGTGCGGATATTTCCCCTAGGTAATCTTATTCAATTCCATGGTCCAGTGTTTCAAATAGAGTAGCTGATAGCGTGGACACTGGAGCCAAACTGCCTGGGTTCAGTTACCAGCTCTACCATTATGCGATGGACAAATTACTTAAACTGTGCTTAAGTGCGGATATTGTTAGGACCTACCTCGCCGGGTTGTATTTGGATTAGATAAGTTAATGTATGCAAAGTACTTAGGCATGGGTCTGATACATAATACATATTACATAAGTGTTTGGCTATTCTTATTTCGTATATGTTTTTCATAATGTGTGTGGATTATGCCAACCACACAGAAGAGCAGTTAGGTTCTTATGTGATTTCAAGTTAGGATGAGATGGGAGAAGATAAAATAATTTCATTTCCTTCTTTTATGCTGTTTTGTTTTTAGGGTATTGCTCCCAAAATAGAGTTTTCTACAAGGACAGCCATCAGAGAATGTGTGCTTCTGCACAGAAACAGATTTCTTGTAAGTATAATCAAAAAGCCAGTGATAGAAATAACAGGAATTTTCTCTACAAATTTAGAAATTTTTAGTCCAACTTCAGTTTACCAAGTTTGGAGGCAACTGAACAAATAGAAACCTGGAGAGCTTTGCTAAGTTTGAATTTCTGTATTCGAACTATGTGCTCAGCCTGTCACATTAGGGTGAATACGTTCGGCATATGTGTTTGTCAGCATGGTGTGGAGGGTAGAGCAGGGTGATCAGAAGCTAAAATCACAAGTAAGTTTGACTAAGTAGGTTAGTTTGCTTTGGTTGTTGTTGTTTGACTTTTACTCTTGTTTTTTGACTTTCGAACTTACACACAATAGCGTTTCCTTCTTTCTTTTGCTGAGGCTGATGCTCAGAGTTGTATTTGTGGCCCGTGAAGCATGAAGCGTCTTAGGGCATCCATGAACACTACCTCCCTTTTACTCTCTTCTTCAACTGTAATTTCTCCTTCACCCTGATTTCTTTCTGTTTTTCTTTTACCTCCTCGTACATAATTTTGTAGCCATTTAAAATCCTTTCTAGAACAAGATGGAGACGGAATGAAGGTAATTTGTAAAGCTTCTTCAAATACTTTGGAACAAGGGAGAGTAAAATCAATAAGTGAAACAAAATGCTCATCCTGAATATCACCTGTGGTCCTGGATAATACCTTGAAAACATAGGTGGTAGGCTAAGGGGTACTAAATGAGAAGGGCCACTAATCTGTGCAAATCTATCAATTCTCCTGTCATAACTCATATAATGGGAGACCAATGATTAATTTTTTTTTAAGATTTTTTTTGGAGGGGGGGTGCAGCTGGCCGGTGTGGGATTTGAACCTATGACCTTGGGATTATAAGGCTGTGCTTTAACCAACTGAGCTCCAATGATTAATTTTAAGGAAGGCATTAGTTGATTTTTAGTTTTCCTTATTTACCCTCTACTCTCTCCCAATTTATTTATGATGTGTTCACGGTGATTTTTCAGTCTAACTTTCATTCTTTTCCATTGCACCATTTTAATCTTGTTTTAACCTCCTCGTATAGGTCTTCCGTTAAGTGTTAACTTTTTAAATGAATAATTTCTATTGCTTTTTCCTTACAACAAAAGTATTACATTTTAGAAAATTAGAAAATGCAAAAAAAAGGACAAAATAAAAATAAAAATCGCCTGTCATTCTTACCATTTAGAGATAAGCATGACTAATTTTTTGAATATACCATGCATGCACACACACTTTTTATTTTAAAAGATTGGGATTATACTATACACTACATATTATTTTGTGCTCTTCTATTTTCACTTAATATATCATGAACAATTTCTCATGTCCTTAAGTGTTCTTCTGCCAGACATCTTCCATGGTTTCATAGTATTCCCTCATGGAAGCACCATGATTTGTTTGGCCATTTTTCTTTTGTTAAGCACTTACCTGATATATTAGTCATGGTTCCGTTGGGAAACCAAACCATACTTGTTTTTTGAACAGAAAGATTTAATGTTAAAAAATGGCTACACAAGGGTTGGACGACTGAAAGATGAAAGGGGAACACTGAAGTGACACAGACAGTAACTGCGGGAAACAGCTTCCACCCCCAGGGCTGGGGAAACAAACGCAAGAGGTTGAATCATCAAGAACATAGACGCTTAATGAAGAGAACCCCCACCCCCACCCCCCGAAATGGGATGCAGAACTCTGGGGAGGGACGCTCTCCTGGGCACCGGGCACTGCTCACTGCGGGTCCCACAGGCGCTTGGAGGAAGGTCCCAGTGGGTCTAGACTCAAATCTGTCATTAGGGGGCTTTGGCCACGTGGTGCTGGTATGCCTGAGGGGGTGCGATGAGGCTGGTTCTGGAATGATGGGGGAGAAACTAAACTGGAACCATTTGCTGCTGCCAAGGTGAAGAATGCTTGCTGGGGTGATGCTAACAGGAATAGAAGGGAGAACTGCGAGTAGCCAGCCCCGTCTTCTCCAGCCTGCGGTCTCCCTCTAGTGCCCTCTAGTGCCCGAGCCTAATAGAACAGCTGGAAAAGCGAAGTGGATTTGCAGAGTCCCTGACTCAGTATTGTAGAGCTGAGGTGGGTTTGCAGCTGAGAGGCAATTGCGCACTTACCAAGACAACTGGTTTCTAATTTTTAAACTATTGTATTTTTTAAATATACACCATATTTATTTTGTACATTTAATATACACCACATTTATATATGCCATAATTATTTCCTTATAATAAATTCCTTGAAACGAAATTGCTGGACCTAAGTATATGCCAAATTATCTGCGTATCTATCATTTGGAGGGGGGAGGTGTGTGATACTTTCTCTCCTTTTATACAAATAAATCTCACTGTTATTCGTTGAAATATATTACAATAGCAAATTATAAATACTAGTGATGTTAAGCTGAACTGGAAAAAAAAGAGAGAAATGACCTTCCTTAAATTCATGTTTTGTAAATCTGAGACGTTCAATCTTCTACCTTCGCTTTTAAAAGTTCAATTAAATATAGTTATATGCCTATTGAATTTTCTTCTTTTTTCCATTTAAACAAAGTTGTTTCTTTGTTTGGTTTCAGGGAGAAAGATATAAGTCACGAAGGCCTTTATCTACATCACATGGACCAATATTCCCCTTAAGTAATATAAAGATGAAGCCAAAGGAGAATAATCTTGACAGACAGCCCAGAGAAATGCTATCCCGGTCACCTTCTCCATATTCCACCAGACATTTCTTCCAGGACCAGCCAGCTCAGTTGAACCTTGGAAATAATTTCAAAATCTCTGGAGGAAGCAAGCCTCCATTTGTAGTTAGACATGTGAGCCTAAAGTTATTTTTCAGACTACTTTGGAATGGTGAGGGTGTGGATAGAACAAAAAGCTATATTAGAGAGGGAATTCAAATGGAGTAGCAACTGTGATTAAATGATGTTCATTTCCAGCGTCATTGTCAGGAAACTGCTCTAAAGGTGTCTTGTACAGAGGACTGGATCAAAAATGGTAGCCACTTCTATATTTAATTTTTGAAAATTATTCAGAGTATGATGTCTACATATGGTAACTCGCCATTATTTGAAACAGTGAAGAGACAGTTGGAAACTCATGACAAAGACTAGCATGTGCTCTGTATTAATCAAAAACTAAAGCTTCAGCAGTTTTTAAGAAAACTGCTTGAGTTTTCTTAATGAGATTGGTGCTCAGTGGCTATACTTTGAAGAGCAGGAAAAGTAGGAAGAAGTAATGATGTGCCGTCCTCAAAGCCTTAATTAAAGTCATCTTAGATTTAGTAGTGGCCAAATATAATTACACTAGTTCTCTTAATCTCCTTAAAATATTTTTTCTACTATCAAAGTAATAGAAAATATTGAAAAATTCTAGAAAAAATTACCCATAGGCTCACCAGCATAATAAAATCATGGTTAAATTTAATTTGATGCATTTTCTCCATCTTTTTCTATATTCATAGGCTTTATTATTTTTTCTACTATCAAAGTAATAGAAAATATTGAAAAATTCTAGAAAAAATTACCCATAGCCTCACCAGCATAATAAAATCATGGTTAAATTTAATTTGATGCATTTTCTCCATCTTTTTCTATATTCATAGGCTTTATTTTTCCACAAAGTTGTAATTATACTGCATATACAGATTAGTTTCCTGACATATTCCAGTTAACATTAAAAGCATTTTCTGTTATTTCATCCTCTTAATGAACACCATTCCGTGTTCTAAGTGATAACTTATTCTCCAGAACATTAACTATTACAGTGAAGTTCAACCATTCCTGAACTTAATCCAGAATGTTAACATCAGATTGCTAAATTGATATTTTGACTTGAGGTCACAGGCTATTAAGTGTGGTAAGTGTCAAAATCAAGGTGCTGTTAAGATGACCTTGAAGAAAAAACCAACTTAAAGAGTTGGTTGGTAGGCAGAACAGAGCTGTTTGGCTAGAAACTACGAAACAGCTATCCTCAGATACTATCTATCTACAGATACAGAAAGATAGAACAGCTGTTGTCTTCTTGGTGGCCCTGGTAAAGATATCTGTCAAAAATCTAGCAACCAATCTTTAAACATGGCTCCATAAAAATATTTTGAATGGAGTTTATTGGACAGTCCAATTTATTCTATTCCATGTAAATTTTTGTAAAATATAATTTTAGTCCATACCATTATGAACTAAATAATCTTAAAATCTTGGTCCATTACTTAGGGAATTAAAACCTGCTTGATATGTAACAAATTATTATACAGCTTTTACTATGTGCCATACTCTTTTATAAGAGATTTTTACATATTAATTCTTTTATTTAGCCAGATTTCCTAGTGATAGGTGATGTTTCCAGAAGTAGAAGCATTAAAATTTAGAGAACTTGATAATGTAAAAACTATAAATTCAAATAAATATATTTCTTGAAGTGGAATAAAAAGTAACATTATAACCTGCCTTATTGAAATAAAAAAAAATAACAGAAATAAAAAAGATTAAAAAAATCCAGCAACTCTGTGTTGTAAATAATCTGGAAGAGTCCCTGTTTCATGTATTTTGACCTGTTTACAGATCATGTTGCCCAGTTTTTCTTTAGGAAAATATGGTTAGTCTCCATAAGTAAAATAATATAGTATATAGTTATAGTTATTATAGTTATATATAGTTATAATTATTCTTTTTTCAAAAGTATAGACACTCAGACCGGAAGGGAATGTGGAAGGCCGAAATGTCACCTTGCGGCAATCCCTTGCTGTCAGGGAGAACCTGCCACACCCACCCACCCCCAGGCCAGCACTGCTCAAACTGTCTAGGAACATGAAACTCTGTCCTGTTTTAAAAGATTGTGAAATAAAGGGCTGGCTGGTTAGCTCAGTTGGTTAGAGCATGGTGCTTGCTGGTAATACCAAGGTCCAGGGTTTGATACCTGTACCAACTAGTCACCAGGAAAAAAAAAAAAATGAA